CTGCCAGTGGGACAAGGAAAGGCACTTTATTCCCTGTTATTTGGTCAGAGGGAGGGAAGAGAAAGAACAATTTTCCTTTTCTGAGCAGACAGAAAAAATCAATTCCAAGCTAAAGCCAGGTTAGAAACAAGACCTTTTACTGTGACCTCATTACAGGAATGATTTACACTTTGTGGAGGAACTGCCAGTGCTGGAGAGCACAGAGGGCTGGGCAGAGGAGGAGCAAGGGCAGTGCTTGTGCACTTCTCCCAAGAACAGGCAACTTGCTATTGACAGTGGTGCTTTTTTTTCCCCCCAATACAGGTTCTTAAGGGCCACAAAACCTTCCTAAATGCAGCTTACAACTGGGAGTTCCTGATGTGGGAGGCAGCACTGCTTCTCTTTTTACTACGTCTGGCATCTCTGGGCTCTGAAACCAACAAGAAATACAGTAACATTTCCATCTTGCTCACTGAGCAGGTGACTCCATTTAGCTTGTTCTCCCTCTGCCTTTGTTGGGATATAATTACTGTATTTGAAACCAGCTTAAACACTGGAATCAAACTTTCAAAATTTAGAAATCCACCCTTGTGTTGGCCAGAAGGCAACAAAGCACTGTACAGCAGGGCAGGGGTGAGCTGGTGATGTTGGGACAGACTCAGATTCTAAAGTTCTGGATGGTTTTTGTCTCTGGGTTAGCCAAAACAATTGGAAAAAGAATGATGTTATCAGTGCTAAATTCACTTCTTCAGGAGTGACAGCAGACTGCAAAAATGGCTCTGGTTTCCCTTAGTAATGAATCACTGGGGGGCTGGTGCTGGGATATCAACACCTGGTCTGTGGTGTCTGTCACAGATAAACTTGTACCTGAAGATGGAGAAGAAGCCAAACAAGAAGGAGCAGCTGTCTCTGGTAAACAATGTTCTGAAACTGTCCACAAAGCTGCTGAAGGTAAGATACTCTGAACAGCTCAGTTTTATGGAAGTGGTGCCTAAAGGCAATACCATGTGGCTCTTGATTAGGTAAGAGCTGGCTCTCACTCACAGAGGGAGTTTTTCTGTGCTCCTACAGCTGTGACATGAGATGGAGCAATACAAGACCACTGTGGTTAATTAGTGCTGTGAACAGACTGTGGATTCAGCAGGAAACATCTCTGAAACAGAGTGGGAATTCCTGTACATGCATTTGAGAAAGGACAGAGGCAGCACAGTCTGTTGGAGCACCAGTGTTAAGCTGAAAGTCAGAGGATGAATTGCTTTGCTATTGGTGAATGTGAATGGACTCCTTTCCTTGTCCTTCCACTGCAGGAACTGGATAGTCCCTTCAGGCTGTATGGACTGACCATGAACCCCCTGATCTACAACATCACACGGGTTGTCATCCTCTCTGCTGTCTCAGGAGTTATCAGTGACCTTCTAGGGTTCAATATCAGAGTAAGTGTCCTCTACAAACCAACAGCAACAGCTCTGGGGGCCCCTCAGACTCCTCCTGCCTGAGCAGAAAGGTTTGCACTGGTAATTCAGAGACCAGACTCTGCTGGGTGAGTCCCCACCTCCCTGAGCCAGTTCTGGGGGGAAGGACAGGGCTGACTCCAGTTTAATTTGTATTCAGGTCAAGCTGTTAGAATCCAGGCTTCCTTCCCTTTATCCCAGTCCTCCTGTGGCTCATCCTGCTGGAGCTCACTGAGCAGAGCAGGATGGGGAAGGGAGACTTTCTCACCTGTGGATACAGAACATGCAGACCTAAGGCTGTCAGACCCAAACTCACACTCTGTCTCTCTGCAGTTATGGAAAATTAAACCATGAACTGACAGAACATCAGCCCTGGGCATCTCCACCAGAGAGAAGAGAACCTCAGGTGTGGGCAGAAAGCAGAAAACTGATGGAAGTCTGTAATTACAGCTTTCAAACAGATTCTCAGTGTTATCAGAAGTTTTCTTTCTGCTTTACTGTTCTACACCACCCAGAACCAACTGGTCTCAACAGTGATGTCATCCCATGGCATGCACACAGAAAAACTGCATTAATGGGGCCAAATCCTGGCAGCTGGCACTGAAACCAGCAGGAACTGGTGTGGGACATCAAACCCTGAAGCCATACAAGAGCTGCAGCTGGAGGGACACCAATGGCTGTGACTGGTGCCACGTTCCTGCAAAACCTGAATCCTGGGATGTGACAAGGAGGGAGTCAGCCCTCCCATCCCAGTCAGCCTTCCTGGAGCTACACTGGAATATTGCAGCTCGATCATCCTTAGCTGCACTTGTCTGGCTGTGCTGAGGAGAGTCTCAATCCTCAAAAGCTCCACGTGCTTGAGGCTTTGCCTCTGTCCTGAACCGCTGCAGGATGTGAATTCCACCTCAGGATGTGAATTCCACCCCTCCCTGCTGCCACTCCAGCAATACCAGAGTCCTGCTGTTGGCTTAGGCTGGGGCTGCTGCGAAGAAATGATGAGTATTTTTCTGAAAACATTAATTACAGGAGAAAAACCTCTCCACAGATACTACAGGGAAAGTGTTTATGAGCCGTAGAACATTTTGCCAGGTCTGTTCCCTGGAACACTCCACTCCATCCTGTCCTGCCTGAGAACAGCTCTGGCAAAGACCTCCTCAGGTTCGTGTTTAGAAAGGGCAGAGGAGAGAAGGAAAACATTTTAAAGCTTCTGTTATATTTCCCTTCACTGGCTCTATCAGCTTCTATTTATTAGTAATGAAAAGAGCAAAAACTGAGGAACTTTTCAGAGCTTCATTCTTTCACAGGAGGGTAAGATGGCAGAAGCATTTTTGGTAGTAAATTGTTTACAGCTATTTTCTGTACAAGGAAAAGTTGTGAGATGTAAAAGGAGATGACAATTTTATATAGCAAAATATACAAATAAACCTACAGGACAAGTATTTCATCATTACCCACTGTTTTCTACAGGACCTGATGATTTTTATACCACCTTTGTCGAGCATTTGCTGTTTGAATGGAGGGGGGGAGGGTGTCAGGGAAAATTCCAATAATAAATTGCATTTGTTTTCCAGAAGAGCAGCATGTTTGTGGGTAAAACCTGGGGTCACACCCCTGAAAGCCAACCAAGAACCTGGTTTATACAGTGCAGAACCAACAGGCCACGAACTGGAGTTTGTTTTTAATATCTATATAAAAAATAATGAGCGATTTACAGGTCTCTCTCTAGTCAGAACCTCAGAAGTCTGTATAAAGGTGCTGTACAATATATAAACATTTACACCCAGTACATCCATACATTGCTTAGCATTCCAAGGCCACATGGCTAAGTCTGATACAGGAAGTACAGATACAAGGTCTATGGAAGGAGAAATCACACACAGGTAAGACATTATCACATTAACATAGAGAAAAAATCGAGGGGAGTTGATGGCAGGGGAATCATTTCAGTGGTGCTACTTAATTCATCTGGAATTAAAGGTCTGGATCTGTCACTGTACTCAGTGGTCAGGGCGAGTGCACACAGCTCAACATAAACCACCCTCTGGGGAAGGGCTCAGGGGAAATATCTACACAGGCTACTTCAGAGTATTAAATATTTCACAGTCATACTCCACCCAGGGAGTATTTGTACGTGTTATGCTACACAGCAAACCTCGATGGAGCGCCCGGGGTTGAGCAGCAGAGCACAGTTCAGAGCTGCTCTAAAGCCTTTTGAGTTCCCAAAGTCTTTGTGGGAAAGCTGGCTGAGCAGTCAGCTGTGCTTGGGAAGAATTCCACTCAGAACTGCCTCACTGTGCTTCATCAGCCTTTAAAAACATCCCATGTTTCAAAGCCAAAAGGAGGTATTTGCTCGTTCCATTTCAGAGAGCAAATCCTATTAGTTTGAGTTTTGAGTAAGTAAAGCTCCATCCTTTACTCCTCCTCCTGCAAACTGGACCAACGGGCTCCTTCTACCATTAAAAACCTAAACATGTCAGGAAATCATCACTAAAGCTATGAATAAAATAAACCCCTTTAGCTTCTGCTGTTCTCACAACTTGGGGACTGAGGTGTCAGGAGGTCCTGGTGGTCACATCCCTCTTTAAAACATCTCTGCCAGCCCAAACCACGGAGAGCGAGCCTCCTGTACCCTCTGTGTCATCAACACTCCCTGATCACACATTCCACGTAAAAATGGGAGAGTTCTAATATACACAGGCATAAACTTCACTGACGAGGCTGCTCTGGCAGCTGGGTCTGTCTAAGGTCAGTTGTTACCTCTACAGAGGGAAAAAAATCCAATTCCTAACTAGCATTAATTAATTAAAGATGGGGCTTCAGCATCGGCTCCACACCAAGGCTGAGGATTTCGTGGTGCCACAAGTGAAACCAAAGGAATTATGTTATTTAACAGAACCCAGAATTTTCTCTCCTCACACAAGATGCTTGCAAAGCAAATCCCTACGACTCGAGGCAATAAAGCAATTTTGCTGCGTTCAGAAAACGCAAAATTATATCAAATACCATTGTTGTCAACAGGGTTTGGTATGGGGTATAAAAACCCCAGGAAACACATCAACTGGGCAGCATCAGTGGCTCATTTGCTGCCCTGGAACTGACAGAACCAACTCGCCCATGTCCTTCCTGACCCAGCAAGAACACGTGGGTTTCCTGACGCAAACATGCACCACCTCTGAGAAAACACCCACCTCAGCCCAAACCTGCCTTGTCTGTGACTGGAATCCACGGGGGGGAGGATTAGATTGACTGGATACAGTAGATAAACTTGGCACAAGAGCAGGAAGTGAGTCAGGATCACATTGGCAACAGAGGCATTAAATAACTTTGTTCAGACCTCACAACACTCGGAGAAGCCGCAGCAGTGCAACGTTGGGAGCAGCAGACAAGGGCCTGCACGGGGACACGGGGACAGCAGCTCATGGCAGAGTTTCACTGAAGCATCCAAAAGGTCCTTCATGCAGCTTAGATAATTTAAGAACAAATCAAACCCTTTCCCCCCCACTTCCAACCAGTTTCTGAGACAAAAAAAAAAGAAAAAAAAAAAAAAAAAAAAAAAAAAAAAAAAAAAAAAAAAAAAAAAAAAAAAAGAAAAAAAAAGACAACTGTGTGAAAAGAACCAATGCTTTAAATGACCCTTATTGGAAAACTGGTTAAAACATGTTCTAAAAAAAACAGTGTCAGTCAGTCACAGCCGTTTTCCAGCCACTCCTGCTGCTGGGGTGCCCTTAGTGGGGACCCTCCACGGCCCGGGAGTTATCGGCGTTTTCCTCACTGGAGAACCCTCAGGGTGGGAAGTTCCATCTTTGGTTTCATGGGGCAGCTCCACGTGTCTCCCTCCGTGGTGCCTGCTCAGCGTGACAGTCTCCTGTGGTTCCCCCCTCCTTTGCTTCTCCGTGGAAAGCAGTGGGATGTTGGACAGGCTGGAGGTTTTGAACCTGCTGGAACTTGGCTCTCCAGAGCTGGACTTGGTCAATAAATCGTCCTCGGAGGCGTTTCTCCTGCAGTCCCTCAAGGGAAGGTTGTTCCCCTCAAACGCTGGGTAGTGTCTCTCTGCAGACCACCCTTCCATCCTTCCTGCAGTTTTCTGCTTCGTGTCTTTCCTGCTGACTCCTGGTTTACCAATCCCACCTTTCAGCTGCTCCACACCACCAGTTCTGCCCTGGCTCCTTCCCACCATTTCTGCACTTCCCGGCTTCCCGAGGTGCCTGTGGGGACTGGCTGACCTTCCTTGATTTCCACTGGAATACTCTTTTTTGTCACTACTGTTCGTTCCTGTTTCTGTGGTTTTACTCTCACTCCCTCTGGATCTGCCAGGTTGATGTGAGAGATTGTTCTTTTCAGGATCCGCTTTCCTGGGGCTGTGGAATCCCCTGGGAGGGTGTCCCTCAGCAGCCCCCAGCTTTGCTGGACTGGCAGATCTGTCTCTTCTGGTCCCTGCTTCCAAACTACCTTTAGTGATTCCAAACCCAGGGCTGGAGGGACATTCCCATCTGTTCTTTGTTCTCTGGGGAGAAGACTGAGGCTTCCTCTCACTCTGGTTTTCAGTTAAAGTGCTTATCTTGTCAGGCACAGTGTTCTCTGCTTGTTCCAGTTCCTCAGACAGCTGAACTCTGGTTAAAGCTTCTCCTGGTACTGGTAAATAACACACTTCAGATGGGGAAGCAGAATGGGAAGATGAAGATAATGGTGACTGTTCTTCATATATTACATTTGACGAAGATGGATTGTAACTATCCCAATCACCTGGAAGTGAACAGCGAGAGATTTGACTGAACAACTACACACAAAAAATAATAATCACTAAATATTTCACAATTTTAGCACCTCAGCAGCAAATTACCGAGTTCAATTTAAGAAACATTATGGAGTGGCATATTCTCAAAGCCTTATTTAGCCAGATTTACGTACTGTCTTTTTCTACAAGCTACAACAACCCTGAGGATGTGATTTTGGAAAAAAACCCAACAACTAGGGCTCAGAATGCTGCCTGATCCCTGCAGGACTGACACAGGCTTGGATCAAAACCATTTTAGAGCCTACACAGCAAAATTGCAAAATAGAAAGTCCCTGACCTACATTGTTTAATATGAGAAAACTAAATGAACTGGAACTGTTATGCTAAAAGAAACCTGAAACACTGAAAAGTCGAGGTTATTCATAGCTTTGCACTTAAATAACAGGAAAAGATGGAACACAAGACATGCAGATTTACCAAGTCTTTAAGGAAAAACCAAGAAAAGCACTGAAAGCCCTTAATGTTGCTCAGGTTTCACGTAGGGACACAGACTGGAAGGAGCCAAACCTGAAGGAGGAAGAGAAAAAGCCCAGAAGTACATACCAAAAAAATCACAGAGTACAGCAAGCAAGATTTCAACCAGAAATGTGGGACTAACAGCAAGGCAAGAGGCAACAAACCCTTCCCCACTCCAGCACCTCCTTCCCATCCCAGACCCCACTCTGGACAGAGGGATGGGTGGGATGTGCTCCAGAGGTTCCCTCAGACTTTTGGTGATTCTGTGTTTCTCCCTCAAGCTCAGGGGATTCCTGTGAACAAAAGGGCCAGGAGTGATCCCAGATAATCCCTGCACATCCCTCATGGATAAACTCCACTGGTCCCTGCTGGAGTCAGATGTTGGGGAGGAGAGAGCAGGAGTCACCTCCACGCTCATTTTAATGGAAATGTCATTTTAAAGAGAACCTCCCCATGGCATTACAGAACATCCTGAGCTGGAAGGGACACACAGGGATCACCCAGTCCAACTCCTGGCCCTGCCCAGGACACCCCAACACCCCACCCTGTCCCTGAGGGCACTGTCCAAACACTCCTGGAGCTCTGGCAGATCTGGGGCTGTGACAGTTCCCTGGGGAGCCCGTTCAGTGCCCAACCACCCAACCAGAAGCTCATCAGAGCACAAGGCAGACTGTATTTAACCATATTCAACGATGTTCAGCTTTCCCCCCCACTGAGGAGGTGATTCAGGGTGAGAGCCAGGCCCAGGCAGGGGTTGTGCAGGCTGAGCCCAGCACAGCACAGATGGGCTGTTTCCATGCCCTGCACTAATTCCCTGATTTCACTGTGCTGGGCAGGTCAGAGCACTGGGATGTTCAGGGCCCTTTTCAAGCTCTCAGGAGGAAAGAAATGGAGACAGCTCTGAGCAATTTTACCCCTTGAGTGAACATCAGTTGCTGCCTGTAAATGAACACACAAAGTATTTGGGAGTTCAAACTCCGTGTTTGGGATTTTGAAAGGATAAACTGGGTTGGGACTGGGACTGAAAAGTTCTTTATCAGAATAAAAGTGACCCTCCAATTTAGGAAGTTCATCATGAGCACCCTGGTGGCAACATCAGGGGATAAAAGACTAAAATGCATATTTGGGAATCAGGTGCTCTTTGCTTTAAAATGCTGCCACTGCCACAAGTCTTTGATTTGCAGTTTTGGGGCCCTGGCAGACCCCAAATCATCAGTTCTGAGCTCTGTGGCTCCTGCAAGCGTTTGCTTTGCTGTCCTTCCTTTTATCTGGCCTATGAAATTGTCCTTTCCTGTTGCAGAGGCAAAAATCACCTTCAATCAAACCAAATCCCTTTGGAGAACAAAGTTGTTCCTCTCCTGATTCCTGAAGTTTTGGCTTTGAAAAACAAAGCATCCCTTAACTTAGAAGGCTAAAAACTGAAATGAATCTGTAGAAATCATATTTTGACAATACAGGCATTTTTAACTGAGTACTGTAGCATAGAGAATTTTAATTTAAATTAAAAGGCAATCAGGGTTAATCATTTTTATAGGGAAGCTTGATTAGCTTGGACAGAGCTGAGAAACTTATTAAAATATGGAATAATTTCACAGGGTTTTAATATTCCTAAATACTTGTCATGTGTTAATTGTACCAAAAATGTTCCTCATCTTTTAAAACAAATATTTCTATTTTCTATTTTTGTATTTTAATTTTTAATTTAATTCAATAATAAATAAACACTTGCACAGCTGTCACAAAGGGAACTGCCAACTACTGCAGTGAACAAGCACCAGAGTCTGTTTATCCCACTTTCCTCCCCCACCTTGGACGAAACCAAACAGCCCTTGAGACAACATACTGTGATCTGGAATCAATCCAGTCCCTGGTCTCAGCAGCAGCAAAACTTTATTCCCTCCAGCCTGAATCAGCTCAATGGCTCGTGTGTGAGTGATTCCTTGGGTGGGTTCTCCATTAATTTCCACTATTTGGTCACCAACCTGAGGAGAAAAGAGCAAGCAGGTGAGTCCCTGGGAATCTCTGACACTGTGGTTTTTAGCTTAGAAAGAAAAAATTAAATAATAGAGGCAGATGCTTCTGTTTTCCCTCTTGTGCTGAAATCCACTCAGCAACAGTGACACCCCTCCAGGGGTGATGAGCAGGGTGTGACCCGGGGCTCTGGGGGCTCACAGGTCACACAGTCCTCAGCCAGCTCAGGGAAAGAAAGTCTCAAAGTTCTCACTACTGACACATTCCACCACTTATTCACAAGGGATTTTTATTTACAAGTGGTGGTGTTTATTTTCTATCTACTATTCATTTATAAGTGATGGGGCAGATCCAGGAGGTGCTTGAATGTATTTTCCTTCTGGATCGTGGTGTGGAGGGAGCACAGGGATGAACCACACCTGAGTCACACCTGAGTGAGGTCACACCCCCCAGGTGAGGTGAGGGGCACCTTCACCCAGTGCACAGCTCAGGGCACAGCAGGTGGAAGGGCAGGGAAGGAATTGTTATTCCAGGCAGGAGAGATCAGTGCCGAGGTCTCTGAGGCCAATTAACAACTCACAGGGGTGCTGGGCAGGTAATTCCAGCTCACACCAACCCCACAGGCTGCTGGAAAGGGGTCAGAATGAGCATGAAAAAGGGATGTCTGTTTGGGAAAATAGGAAAAAGGGAGGCCTATCTGGCACTGCCCAGAACAGCCAAGGGATGTCACTGCTGTGTAACAAGAGCAGCTCGAAGAGACCGTCTGGGCTTCCTTAAATAAACTCTGCCAAAGGAGGTCAGTGCTGGCTCAGGGTAGGACAGGGACACACTGACAGCTCAGCTGGGTGAGAAATTCCTCTTCAGTGTGTTAAAAGCACAGCCAGAAAGCGACACCGTGTCCAGATGAGGAGGGAGACAAACTGAATGACACGGGAAGTGTGAATCCCCTGGGGCTGGGAGAGCTCAGCCCCTCGGTGCTCTGAGCCCAGCTGGGACACTGAGCTGGGACACTCCATCCCTGCACAGGGAAGGGTGAGGGGCCAGGGGGTGGGAAGGGCCTTTACAAAAGGCTGCTGTACCCACACCCCACGTGGAAATCACTGGGGGAGTTGGAGCTGGAGCTCTCAGCAGGATTTTGCTGCCTCAGTCCCCACAGAGCCAGGGCACAGGTTGTCTGAGTGACACAAGGAACAGTCAGCTGGGACCTCAGAGAGTCAGGGAATACCCTGAGCTGGGAGGGACCCACAAGGATCATCCAGTCCAGCTCCTGGCCCTGCACAGGACATCCCAAAATCCCACTTTGTCCATGACAGCGTTGTCCAAATGCTCCTGGAGCTCTGGCAGCCTTGGGGCTGTGCCCACTGCCCTGGGGAGCCTGTTCAGTGCCCGACCACCCTCTGGGGGGAGAACCTTTCCCTGAGATCCAACTCAACCCTGTCCTGGCACAGCTCCAGCTGTTCCCTGGGTCCTGTCTCTGCTCACAGACAGCAGAGATCAGTGCCTGCCCCTCACAAGGAAGCTGCAGACCCTGATGAGGTCTGACCTCAGTCTTTTCTTCTCTGGGCTGAACAACCTTCTGGTTGCTCAAAAAGCAAAGCCCTGGAGCTCAGTGTGACACCACTTAAAGAAGGAAAACAAGAGAAAATATTAGCACTGAACACCACACTTGTGTAGTCTCTGAAGCATGAGGGGCAAAAACCTCATTGATGTGAGGAATTGGAGAAGAGAAGTTAACAATACTTAGAGTTCCACATCCAATTAAGCCTCACAGCAAGTATCTGTATCAGCCCCATTCTGCAAATACAAACAGAGGCAGAACCATGTGCCAGTGGCCACAAGTGCAGGAAGCACCAGGACTGCAGTGGGATGGCATCTCATGGGCACCTGGCTCAGCTCCACACTCCAGCCTCTGAAAATCCAGCTCTGGGAAGTAGCTACAGAGCCTCACCTACCACCATTCTTTGCTTTTGTACCCATGCATTTGGTTTTACTACAATATCTGAGAGTGAATTCCTCACACAAAGGTAAGAATTAACATAACATTTTGAAAAAAAATTAGGTTTGGATCCCCAGAGATGGCCCAGAATGGCAACAGCACAATGTTCACACACATATTCCTTAAAAACTCACTGACTTGGACACTGATTCTCCTTTCAGCTCTCTGTTCCTTTGTGAAATCTGTTGCTGGAGTCCTAAAGTACCCTGAGGAGCTGGGTCAGGGATGCTACTGGAACTCAAGCAAGGCTGGACAGTTCCTTTTGGATGCTCATGGAGCTGTTCATGGATCTCTCCTCTCAAACCCCACAGCTGTCACCACACAGGGACAGCTGGAAGAAGGGCAGAGGCCCAGCTGCTGTTCTGGGCCCCTGTGCTCACGGGAAAACCGAGTTTCTTGCCACTTCAGGTAAATTAATGCGTCAACTTGATCAGTAAATTGATTAGAGAAGCCAAACTCACGTGCACTCTCCCGTCCTTGACCGCTGGCCCGTCCTCAGCCAGGCGCAGGATGAACAAGCCCATGTTATATTCCTTCCCTCCTCGGAGGCTGAACCCAAACCCTCGAGGGCCCCTTTCCAGCTCCACTGGGAAACAGCCAGGACTCTGTGAGGAGGAAAAAAGGAAAAAAAAAACCAAAAAACCAAGAGATGAGGACCTACAGGCAGATTTAAACATTTGTTTCACACATTCCTGTATTTTGAGATGTTTTAAACGGAATCCACCCCAGCTCAGGTGTGACTCGGGGTAATGGTTCCATTCCAAGTCTAAACACACAGAACATCTTCCCTTCTGAGAGATGAATAAAATCCTTCATGAAACTTTGCCAAAAGGGTCTGTAGTAGCTCCATGACAAGCATTTTCTGTTTCTTTCACAATTAGAATGAGAATTCCCTTATCCTAAGGAGATAATCAAATTTAAAGCATGGGCAAAAACACTCCGTGAGACGCTTCAGTGCGTTTTTAAACACAGCTTTTCTACCCACATCTGACAGGGAAATGTTTAATTGTCCTGCTTTCCAGAACTCCGTGGCAATGCCACCAATGGATGAGTATCCCACGTCCCCACACCCTCTGGATGGGCTCCTGTACCTGGGAATGACGGCCAACACCTGGAGCAGCATCCGACTGTGCCACGTGCTTGTGCTCGGGCCAGGACAGACGGTAACCACCGGAGACTTCTTTTCCAGCTTCACCTTCTGTGGCTCCCCTGTGGAGAGGTGAAAGGACACGGATTTTACCTCCACACCAACCCCTCTGCCCAAGCTTTCCCCGCCGTTCCCAGCCCCGTTCCCAGACCTGTCGGCGCCGGGGGGGTTGATCTGTGCCGGTCCCAGTGGTCGGTGCTGCGGGGCCGGGCTCTGCCGGGCCGAGTTCGGCCCCGAGGGAGGCCCACGGTGCTCTGAAATCCAAACACAACCAACAGTCAGATGTCCTGGTTAGAACAGCTGGGACCAGTTCATCACTGGATGGGTGTAACCCAAAACTGGGTATTCTAGAGCCTTCCATGCCATTGCCCAGAAACTGTTATCAATGAACCATTTACACCCCCTGCCCAGAGCAGCCCTGACTCCTCAGGCTGTAAACTGGGTGTTCAGAGGCCTGTGAGACAGGAGGGTGCTCCTGTCCTCATACCCATTGTGGAACTCCCCACCCTGAGGGAGGTACTGGGCATTCCTGCCTGAACCTGAGGATATATAATCTTGGAGTCTTGGGACTTTTTTAACCACTCGTGGGATCCAGAGGAAGACTGCAGATCACCGCTCTCAACCAGACTGCAACCACCACCCTTGACCAGACTGCACCAGCACTCTCACCAACAGGTTTTTCCCCTCTCCTTTTCCTTTGGACTCAGGGGGCCCAACTCACACCCCTCTGTTCATGCCCCAGGGTGCTGGGTTATGCATTTGGGTTTTGTGGGTTAAAACCAACTGTTTGTCTGTATAATTGTATTTATTGTATTATTTTATTAAATTGTTGTTCTGACTTATAATCTCTCCTTCGAGTTGAGCTCATTTCCCCTGCTGGTTTACCTTTAAACCAGCACACAGACCTTCCCAAATCCACAGCTGGGATCACAGTGACCACCAGAGCTGCTGCTGCTCCCAAGGAATCCACCAGTGGCACCTCGGGCTGAGCTGAGCTCGCTCACACAACAAGGATTCTCCACTCCAGGAACCCAAGTGCAGCTCGTTGGTTCCATGAAATAAACCCCTGTTTTTATTCTTCTCTGTTTTTATTCTTTCATTCTGCTTTCCCTCAGAAAAATAACACAATTTTATGGATCCAGACACGGACAGAAGAGTTTTGAGGTGCTAAAGGGCAGAAGGGATCAGGGGTGGTCAGATCCATTATATGGGATATTCAGTGTAATAAAATTTTGCAAGGGATTAAGAACAATGTCCATCTGAGAAACATTGCTTTGGAAAGGTAAGGGAATGAGGATCTGCAGGATCAATGGGAATTTGGAGGTGAAGACCCCAAGGAAGGAGGGAAACTGCCAACTTATTTAAGGCACCACAGAGTTTTCTCCTGCCCAGCTCCAGGGAAGGTGAGGAACTGGTGCCACAGCCACACTGGGGGATAAGTTCACTGGCAAATTATCAACAGGGATTTTTAAAGTGCTTTGCCTTCTCCCAGAAGCTGAGTAAAAATTAAAGTATAACATTTTAATAAAATATTTTAAGATAGCTTATTTTCCCTTCCACGGTAAACAGTGATTGTGCACTTTTAAATCCACTGAATTTATGGACAAAAAACATGTTTCAGGACACAAAATGACTCTGCCATTTAAGAATCAGGAACCACAGTCCATGCAAAAAGCTGCCTCTTAGCTAGAATCTGAAGGGCAAAGAGTGGCCCAAGATGAACTTTTGTGCTGAATTAAAAACTAATAAACTCCTTTTTCCCTATGAGGTTTAAAATAATAAACCCAAGCACCAAAACTAGAGATGTTCCAGCACTTTTAGGTGCAGCACATTAGTGCATTTCCTAATTAAGAACAAAAAAATTCCATTAAAATATAAAAAGTGCTCAACCATCTTAAGGGAAGGGAAATTTAAAGCACATTAAACTGAATTTCTCAGGTATGTGAGGCCTCCCAAGCCCTCCACAGGACTGCTTGGTGCTGCTCCTGTGACATGCCTCAAAGAGGTTTCTCTCTAGAGACAGAATGTCAACTTTTACTCCTGGTTTATCCTCAGATTTTTAATTTAGAAGCACAGGCAAGAAAAATGCCATCTGTTTGCAGAAATCCTGCAGCCTGCTCTCGTGTGTTCCCAGCTAATACATGACAAAAGCTGACAGGCTCCTGCTTTGGTGAAAAATGTTAAAGAACCTCTCCTGGTGCACGAAAAGCAAAGATCACAGGCCTGGGAAGGCTGGGGGGGACCAGGCAGAGGTTTTATTGCCACTCAGAGGACAGTGCTGGGGAACAGCAAACCTGATCAGGATTTGTGCTCCGTGAGGCTGAACAGCTTCCAGAAAAAAAGAGCATTTTGGTGTGGTTTTTTTTTTTTTTTTTGGAGCTGCATCCTGCATTTTCCTCAGTGTGCAGCACCTCTCTGAGGTTCAGCTCCCTCCCTGCAGTGCCTGAAGCCCTGACTCACTCCCATCCAGCTGGAACTCTCTGCTGTGAGCTAAACTCCATTTCTCCAGCTACATCAAGGAGAATTTTAAAGTGGAAATATATTCCCACTTTGGTGGAGCAGGTTCTGCTTCTTTCTCCTTCATTGTCACGAAATCCTTTACATCTCAAACACGCCAACTCCAGCTCCCCTAAGCCACAGATTTCTTCTGACTGATCTTCACTCTGCTTTCACCACCTGCTACTGAGGGTTTTTTTTCCCCTTTCTTTGTTGAGTCTCCACAGGTTCTGGTTTTATCTCTACATTTTGGCTGCAAATCTATAATTGAGGCAGTAGGAAAAGTTCTCACACAGAGTCCACGTAAGGTCATGCCTAAATAATGGGTAAAAACACGACATTCAGAAAACTTATTCTGAAAACAAGTGGAAGGTGTCCCTGCCCGTGGCAGTGGGTGGAATGAGATGGTCTTTAAGGTCCTTCCAACCCAAACCAGTGTGAGATTCTGTGACTAAAAGCTGCAGAGAAACAGATCTAATTCAACCAACTCGAACTTCAGTTGCTTTATAAACATCACCCTGGGCAACTGCTTTGAAGTGTGTCCCTTCAAACTGGAATGAATCAGATCCGATAAAAATAAAAATCTTAATAGAAAAATAACAATTTATAGAGGCCTCTCTGCTTCGAGCATTGACAAAAAGGAACATTAAGTCTTTGAAATTCTGTGTTACAGGCTGAGATGGCACGTTAAATATTTGCAACTAATGTGAAATTAGAGAATTATCTGCTGGCTTTATTCACAGTCTGGCTTTAGGTATTTATTATTTAAAAGGTGAAGGAAGCCAACTTTCTGACAAAATAATGATAGGGAGTTTAATTAAACCCATAAGCAGCAATCCAGAGAAATGCAGGGTTGGAAAACAGCTTTTCTCTTCAAATGATTGGATTTTACATATTTGTAGTGACCTGTTTGCATAGAAACAAACCTGTGGTGCCCAGTGTGGTCTGGGAGCTGACACCAAAAACAGTCCCTAAAGATGGGACTTTGCAGCCCCCAGGACTTCTTTGCTGCTCAGGTGACACAGCAGGTTTTGAAGGGGAAGGATTTGCAGAAAGAGCTTGTCAAGGGTTTTTCCCCACGTGGTGGGTTGTGACCCTTTGGCAGGGTGACTTTTCAGCCTCTGGGGGAAAAACCAAGGTCCAAACCACCACAGGCAGCCAGAACCACGGGATGTTTCTGTTGTATCCCAGGGATGCAGCTTTAGGGAATCCGTGTTTTTTAACGTGGAAGAAAGGAAAAGCTCAGGGGTTTAAAGGGAGAGATTTGGAAAGCAGGAATCCCTGTGGCCTTAGGGCAGGGACAGAGGATCCTGGAAGCAGCTGCCTCATTGGGAACAAAGCTCACTGGGAACAAAGCTCTGGCAGCACCTGCAGCAGCAAGAAATGGGTGGTGCTGGGGTGCAAGATTTTCCCTCTGAGCATCATCCCTTGGTTGCTGCAGCCCCCTCACAGAAGTCATTTCTCCTCAGTTGGAAAACACAAGGCCTGGACAGGACGTGTTTCTATGTCAGCAGCACTTTTTCTCTCTCACACATGAGAAACCAAGAGAATTTCTCTCACTCTGCATCGTGTTGTTAATACTTCTATCTTTTTTTTGAGGGGGGGGAATCACCTTGGCAGCTGCCTCTCTCTGCCCTGCCTGCCTTCAGCTCTTCTAGAGCAAACAAAGGAGCTTCCAGGTGATTCAACTTCCAGGAGCTGGACTCGATGATCCCTGTGGGTCCCTTCCAACTCAGGATATTCCACGATTCACCCTCTATAATTTCCGAGCACCTTCACTCGATTTAAGCGCATTAAGTTCAGCAGCGACAAACACCCAACTCTGGCAGTGTGGTGGCAGTTTCCTTACCTTCCTCAGCCACCACAGTGAGGGTCACCACGTTGCCAGCATCCTTGATGAGCTGCACGATGCTGTCGTGGGAGAGCTCCACGATGGACTGGCCGTTCACCGCCGAGATCCGGTCGCCCACCTTCAGCTTCCCACACTGGTCAGCGGGGCTGCCGTCGATCACCCGCCCGATCTTGTGGGGAATCACTGGGGATCAAGGACAGCCACAGCAACACCTTAATACCCACAGAACACCCTGACTAGGAAGGATCAAAGTCCAGCTCCCAGCCCTGCACAGGCCAACCCCAAAATCCCACTGTCTGCGTGTGGAAAAAGCGCCGCGCGCGGACCCGGAATCGCCACGGAGAATCACTCCCGCTCCAAAGGGTGGCACTGCTTTACAAGGAAAACCTGCAAACCGTGAGGAATGCTCCACTGGGAGTGAACTGAGCCAACCCAACAGCACGGCCCTGTCACAGTACAGGGTGTTGTGCCTGAAGGAAAACACGGCGAGGAAATGGGTCACATCTGCAGAGGGATGAGTGAGAGCGCGTGGCCCCGCAGCGCTCCGAAGCAGTTGGGTTTTGCCACTCAAAATGTAGTTTTCCATTTCATGCATCCACCCTGGAGCGCTGTGTGGGCTCAGAGACAATTATGGATATCCAGTGTAACACAGAAATCTGGATGCAGGGGTAAACTCTTCCTCCTTGCAACTGAAAATTAACCCTTAAACACACTTCAAAGAGAAATCAAACGTGTCCTGCCAGGGACTGACTCAGTAACCTGGTGAGGAACTCAGCAGTGACCCTGAGCACACCCAGCAAGGTGTGTTACATCAGCTCTGCACAGACCTCATCCCTTGCCCTGCTGAGATGAACCTGCACTTGTAATAATCATCTCACATTTTATCCAGCTCTCCTGGGCTGGTTCCCTCAGTTCACCCCATAGTGACACTGTGTCCTGCACAGACTCCTCCAGAGGCCAAAGCAACGGGGCCAGAACGGACAGAATGGGGAAAAGAGAACATTTTAGGAAAAGCAGAAGGCAAAAAAGTCTGATTTCAGTTCCTTTCCCAGAGGTGAACCCAGAGGCAGAGCTACAGGCAGGAGGAGGGAGGGATGCTCCACTCCAGCACCTCTCCCATGGCTCAGCTTCACCTGTGGCTCCTGTGCTCTCCCCACCACGAGCTGTGCTGGTGCTCAGGAAGGGATCCTGTTTTATGGTTTGCTGCCCCAACATCATGTCTGCAGAATGGCCTGGGCAGCCAGGGAGCTGCCATGGTGACAGGAGAGACCTTCCAAAACCTGGGGCAAGGAGCGCTCGTGGAGCTGCCCCTGTGCTGACGTGGCCCCGACAGAGCAGATCTGCATCACATGAAAGCACAGCAGTCAGCAGCTTTCCCAGGCATCCAAAACAGCCTCTCATTCATCTGGATCCCTGAAAGCACATCAGAGTTGGCTCCTGTCCTTCCCAGATCTCTCCTCAGGGCTCGTCTGTGCAGGAACCGCTGCACAGCTCCTTTGTAGTTCATTTCCAAACACCTCCCAGACCAACCTCCACATGTTCCATAAATGCTTTTCCTGAAAGCCTCTTTGCATCTCCAAGGCCTGAAGCAGGTTTGATGGATACCTGTTTTCCACAGGTGCTGCTCTCCCAAACACACTTTCTCTGAGGAACACCAAGCACCTGCCTGGATTATCAGCTGGCTTTCCAAAACCACCAGAGCAAACCTGAAACACTTCCACAGTCTCACAGAATCCCAGACAAACTGGTTTGGGTTGGAAGGGACATTAAAGCCCATTTCATTCCACTCCCCCTGCCATGGGCAAGGACACCTTCCACTAGACCAGGCCATGAGCCACCCAGGATTAAAAAGCCACCAAGGATCATTTTAATGAGCCAGCACACACAGAAGTCACTGTGAAGGAACAGACATTGATGCCTTCTAGCCTTTACCATGAGTTTAAATTTTATTTACACTTCCCTTAATAGACTGGTTTTTAAAGTATTATATAAACCTGAGAGCCAACTGTGAAGAGTGAAGCACTGCAGGGTTGCAGACTTAATTGCTGATTACTTGACTTAAAATAGCCTGGCTAAAATATCCTGGCATCTATCCTGAAGAACCCAGCAGCTTCACATTAAACTGTGGCACAGACAAGTTCTGCAGATCACAGCTTGTGGATGCACCAGTGCCTCTTTCCCTGTGTGTTAGAAAGAGCCTGGACCACAGGCCTTGTTTCCAGCACTGGAATTGGTTTCAGTTGCCTTCTATTTTCAGTTCTAATATCAAATAAAGACGGATTTGCAGCAGATCTTCAGACAAAAATGCTGTCTGTAGCACAGTTATATTATAATTTATATTGCAGATCATATGAGGAGTGGCTGAGGGAGTTGGGGGGGGTCAGCCTGGAGAAAAGGAGGCTGAGGGGGGACCAGGACCAGACTCTGAATATATGTCATACAAATTCAGCACAATGCTACTTAGAAACAGTTTTTTCTGTGCTCCTGCTGGGTTTTATTGTGCAGTAAAATGAAGTGAGAAAACAGAAGTGTCTGAGGCTCAATAAAAAAAAAAGAGACACTTTCATCACTATGTCTGGGACCAGCTGAGGAAGTTTCAGGTGATTTACACCAAGGAACTAAAGGAACTGAGTATTTCAGGAGTTATCTGTACCTTCATGTCAGTGAATTGGGTTCATCTGTGGGTGACCACCTAAGCCTGTATTTCAAGGGCTGACAGAGATAACCCAAACCTGATGCCAAAAAAAATTAATCCCAGAGATGATCCTACTCATCCCATCGTGCCAAAATGACTTGACATCCTCTCCCTGGCCCTGCCAGGTGAGCAGCAGCCACCAGCATGAGCAGCACAAACACACCTGATGGCCCTGAGCAGACCTGCTCCTGTGCAGGACCTTTCCCTGGACTCCAGACCTTCCTGACAACAGCTTCTCCCTCACTGCTGGTCACATCACTTCTTTTGGTTTAGCTTTTAACCTTGGTTACTTTGCTCTTTATCCTTACAGCTATGCCTGAGCTATGTTCATGTCTCACAACTGCAATACCACACCAGGCTACTTTTTCATTTTGATGAGCTTCACAGACACTCTCTGTCTGACAGCAACAACTTCATTGCTTTCCTCCAAGCACTGCAGCCTCTCCTTTCTCAGAGCCCCAGAATAAATCTTACCTGATTAGGTAAAATAAAGCCAAGGCTGAAACTATGCTTCCATTAAAATGCCAGTGAATTAATGAAGTGTGAGAATCTACATCACCACCAAGGCCTGACAAATATCCACATCCCAAACACTGCCCTGTGGCAAGTGCACAGTCCTGTGGACAGGCTGGTTGTGTGGGATATACACTCCCCTGCTCCCCATTTATGTCACAGTTGGGTGAAAAGGAGCACAAACAAGAAGCAAGACAGACCAAGGCTCAGCTGGCTGGGCTGGGACAGGGTGAGGGAAAGGTGACCGTGTGAGTAACACCAGCACTGCACAGACAGAGAAGTCCCTGGAGAAGCTGCAGCCAGGCTGGGCAGTGGCAGAGCCACCAGGACATGGCACTTACCCCCAGGAGGAGGTTTGTTCTTGGAGGTGAGGATGACAAAGCCAAACCCTTCGTTCTCCTTCCGCTGCAGACGGACATCGTACACCTCCGGGCAGGGCTGGTTGGCAAAGTCCCCCCGGCCGGGGCGGGGAGAGCCATTCTGAGCCAGGACAGGCTGGGCCTCCTCCTCCTCTGCTGGCTTTTCCCCTGGCAGGTAACAGACAGACAACAAATAAGGAACAAACCACACCAAGCAACTCCAGCACAAGTCGGTGTCAGTGCCAGCACGGGGTGGCAACAGCGGTCACTGATCAGAGCCGGGACCGTTGTCGGCTCTAAATCCCATCCCAGCTCTGTCATTCAGGGAGTCACGGACAATAATCTTCTCTAAACTGCTGATCTGGACACTGATCTAAAACTGCAGAATCACAAGATGCTGCCCTGGATCAGCTCTGGTTTGAATGCTACATGATGATGCCAAAAGACTTGAGAATACGACACGTGGAAGGTTCCCTGTCCGTGGCAGGGGCTTGGGATGAGCTTTATGCTTTTCCAACCCAACTCATTCCATGATGTACAGAAAAAGACTGGGTTATTACTCAATTTTCATAGCTTTAGTGGCTGTTTTAACTACTACCTGCAAAAAGGTTTGAAGAAATCACCCCTACATCATAATTTTCAGAGCCTTCCCTGTGTGAGCAGTTCAAATTAGCAACCACCAGAGCATCAGCTTATTAAATTCTGCTTTTCTCCACTTACTCAGAGCTACAGCTGACCTTCCTCAATCTCAGGCTGCTCAGCTCTAGTGCAACAATTAAAGACTGAAATAAATGATTTCAGAGCAGCTTCAGTGGATGTGCTTACAAGCCCCCAAGCGCTCTGTGTGTCCTGCAGCCCCTCTGGGCACTCAGACACCTACCTCCAAAGAAGATCTTCCTCCTGACAGTGAGCAGGACCTGCCCATTCCGTGCAGCACTGGTCATCAAATCCAGAACCTGCTTGTGGGACTTCCCTTTCACGGGGACCCCGTCGATGCACATCAGCTCGTCCGCCGCCCGCAGCCGCCCGTCCTTCTCTGCTGCTCCCAGGGGGATGATGGCCCCGATGTAAATCTGTCACAGAGCACAGGAATGGGAACATGGACTCAGCACAACACGTAATGCTTGGAATCCAGGTGAATCCAGGCTGATGAGGGCTTTGGGAAGACGTTTTTAAAGATTATCTCCCCATCCAGCTCCAGCAGAAACGCAGCTGGTGAGTGTGCTCTGCACAGGCTGACCCAGGAGACAATCCAGGAGCTCAAAGCATTCAATACATACTTTTTAAAAAGTTTTGGGGGATTTCTAACCCTTGTTTTCACGAATTCTGCTCCCTTGAGAATATTTGTCAGCTTGCTAAAAAGCCCATGACATGAGCACTTTTGACATGAGCAAACACTTATATGTGATTTCTCAGAACCAGTGAAACGAAAGCCTCTGTCACTCATTCTACTTATTCCACTTTATTTGTTTTACCAGGAGTGGGCCAGAGTTTTTGGGAAAGAAGTAAAAGCTTTTGAAAGAACTCAAATTATTTCTGAGAAGTTGCTCAGACAGCTCTGTGCTCCAAGTTGTTTCAGTGCTCAGCTTTAGGTGATTAGATAATGAATTCAAACATTATCAATTCTGTCTGCCCCCACCTCAGAAAGTGCTACTAAATATAACACAGATAAGAACACCACACTCTATTTCATATGCTAGAATCACTTTCAGAATAAAGGAAAGATTAAGGATAATTACAGCCAGTGCTGTTGGAGGTTAAGCAATGGTGGGCAGCTCATCTGTGCACAGCACTCATGACATCAGCTCCACACTTCCCAACAGCTATGGCTGTTATGGAAACAAAACACCACAAATGCTATAAAAAAAGTGCAGCAGAAGTAACATTCTTTGGGTTTGCTCTTTTCTTTAAATGCATGTTAGGGAGGGGAGGTTAAATAAAAAAAAAAAAAAAGGCTAGCACAGGATCACAGCTGGGAATGGAAAAACTGAATTCCTTCACTGTAATCAGAAAACAATCTGTGTATCTATTCCAACAGGTTTTCCTCTTCACTTGACAGCTGAAGGAAAGGCCCCTGACATGCAGTGCTTCTTCCCAAAGAGAAATCTTTGCATTTTTGGAAATAGAGGGCAATCTGGGAGAACAGACTATCCAGGGGTGTCTGCACTGGCACCTGCCCAGCTGCCTCCAACTCCAGGCACTTCTAAAAGCTCAGTGGGAGAAGTGGGGGAAAAGGGGATATGACCCCATCCCAACTCTAACCTCTTTTCACTGCATGGAAAAGAACAGTCTGGTGGAATTCTGGCAGGGTGAGCAGCCCCTTCCTTCCACTCCACTGCTCCGGGGATGTGGAGCATTAAATCCCAGGAATGTTCTGTGCCAAGGCCACCACTGGGATCAGGTGGCAACGGGCAAAGGCTGGGCACCAGCAGAGCCCTTTAGAGGGCTCCTGGGACACAGCAACAGCTGCAGAAACACCACTGGCATCATCAGCCTGACAGAAAACCACTGCCAAAGACAGGCTCGGGACTGAAGGCAGCCACAAAGAGGGGAAAAGAAAGGTAATCTGGATTAACTCCTGATCTTTGAAAGGCAGGCGCTGAACTGATCAATTTTGCCATCAGTGAACTGTCTGGAATGCTGGGAAGTGAGGATTACAGAGGATCATTCTACCAGGAACACACAGGTAACACTGAACAGGTCCACTTACAGGCTGATCCGGCCCGTCCCCTCCAAGCACCCGGAAACCAAAGCCTGACTCTTGTTTTCGCAGGAAAACATCCAAATCTCTTGTGTTTGGAGCTAAGAAAAAACATTTCAAAACATGTAAGGAGCTAATCTTGGATTACTGAAGGATTATGCTTTGGTGGTGCATTCTGAGGTGTCTTATTGACAAAACACAGTAACCAGAAATACAGTAAATAATAAAACAGCCAGATATTCAGTGATGTTCTCTTTCCAAATGGGAAAAATCAATTTTCAAAAGAGAAATCACAGCTACATTCATGCAGTGGGCCAGGATAAAAGCCAGTCTAACACAGCTCAGAGCTACTTCTATAAACTCTGAAAAGGGCAGCTTTACTTCAGGACTACATCATCCTCTGTAATTAACTGTTTTACTGCAAATACAGTTAAAACATTTTAATTATTTTTTAAAAAACATTTTAATTATTTTTTAAAAAACATTTTAATTATTTTTTTTTTAAAAAATGTGTTCCAAAGTTTTCCAATTCCTGCATGAATTATGTATTTTTTGAAACTTTTTATCCACAGGAGGTTAACAAAATTTTATCCACAGAAGGTTAACAAACTGAGTAACAAAGTCTCAGTAGTTTTACCACACATATGACAAAGAAAAAATTCCTTCATAATCGAGTATTTTCAAGTTGATTTACTCACGTTTGTCCTCATAAATAGTCTTAGACTTCAGGTAGACTTCAGAAGGGTCCAGTTTGGGAGAGCCTGATCGCACAGCAGAGGGTGGGAAGGGCATGGGCTGTGGGATGGGATCACTGACAGCTTCCAAACTCCCTGAACTGTCCTGCTTGTCCTTCTGAAACACACCCCACCCACAAAATCCAGATTAAACCGAAGCAGAACTGAACTTGTGGGGGCAAAGACAAGGAACACCAAGCAGAAGAGAAACAAGGGAACAGGGGAATAAAACTGTGACTCAGTGTAGATTTTCCAGGGGATTTGTCTGACCAGAGGACTGAAGTCTTCCCCTGTGGGACATGGATTTCTACTGGAGACTGGGCTGAGAAAGGGGTTTGAAGGGGCTGATGCCCAGGGAGGAGTGAAGCTGGGCAGATCCAACACATGGGATGAAGTGGGGTGTACAGGACAGTCATGGTTGGAGAAGACCCCAAATCCTTGCCAGGCACCTGCCAGGCTCTAGAGCTCAGTCCAGGCCCATGGGCACACACTGCTTCCCCGGGGGCACTGCCTCCTGCCCTCTGCCAAGGACATCCCCACAAGGTGTTCCCAGCCAACCCCAGGAGTGCCAAAGGCAGTGTAAACACAGGCCAGGAGGACACACCTGGGTGGTTTGAGGCATCAGAATTCACTATTTGCCTTTTCATGATCTGAGAGCTGCAACAGTCCTGTCAGTATTTCCCAAAGAAAGGACACCAACCATCCTTGTGGTCTCTCACCCTGATTTCCAATGAATTGTGCACTAAAGTAACTCCAAATACTTACTCTGGGCAGAAACCCAGCCTGGACAACTTGCACGTGGCTGAACCACAGCACGAGCAGAGCAGAGTTAGATCTGCCCTTTCACCAAGAGCACAAGAAACTGCCCTCAGCCATTCAGCAGTTTGACACTTCTTGTATGTTTGTTTATAAACACAAGAACTTGCCCTTTTTAAGTGAGTTATTTTGCCACACTGCTTAATGCCACTGAGCATCCAGTGCTCCATGGGCTCCTGCACGTGTTGGAAGAGAATGCCAGTCCCCAAATCCAAAGTATTTTTAGCATGGGAGCCACACTGCCAGGGCCTGTGCCCTCAAACTGCAGGGATTCCTGCCCTGATTTATTCAGGGTGGGCAGCTGGATGCTTGCAAGGGATGGAATCTGCAGATCTTATTGAGCACAGTCTGCTGAACACGTGTGTCTGTGTTATCCCACTGCTGGGATACGACTTCAGCACCCAAACAGCAGGATAAAGACAGAAAGAGAAGCTACATCCACATTGTGGTAATGGGGTTCTCCTCAAATGCACTGATTTGTTCTGTACAAGAAGCATCTTTAAAGAAACAGCTGTGCTCAAGTAGCCTAATTTATAACAGAAACATGCATGGCAAACATATGCATTAATATCAGCATTATTAAATCAGAGGGTATTTTATTAAGCCCGAGGATTCTTTACTGAGCTAATATATAGCAAAGATGGCCCAACAGATTGAACTTCCAAGAGTATCAAGCCAGAAATGCACAGCTACACAGAGACCTGCTGAAAATATGGATCCAAAGACAAGCATTTCCAGAAGGGAGTACTAACCAGTCCGTTAATTCTGTGTGAGGATTGAGAAGAATCAAAGTATCATAAACTTCCTTTAGAAATCCCATTCCACTTTAATAATTAGCAATGAAAAAAAGTAGATACACTCTATTTTGTTTCCCTTTTAATGAGTACTCTGACAGCAGCTGCTTAAGACAAAGAGTTTGTGCCTGCCAAGTAGACGTGGTTTTGCTAAAGCATTTTGTAGATTATTACAGGGAACAAAATCCAGAGGAAATGAGATTACAAAGCAGGTCAGAGCATGCACACAATCAGCCATTTCAGAAGATAATGATAGAACTTGATAATCATGACAAACCAACAATATTACACTTATCATCATACCAGGCTCTTGCTGCATTCTTGATTCTTCAGTAGTAATAAGAGAGATATCCATCATCTCCATTAAACAGCTCAAAAACCTCAAAGGAATATTTCCTGTTCATTAGACCATATTTAAGAGTCTGTTTTGCAACCCTAAACCCCTGAATATTCTCCATTAGAAACCAAGTTAAATACATCCCCAATACTCACCCCTTTGGCAGTTTTAGTAGGTGAGGGTGGACCTGAAGAAAATAGAAAGTAATTTCAATAGTAGGTTCCTAAAAGTTTAAACAACATTACAGCAACATAATCAGCTCCTCCTGGGGTGAAAACAGTAACTTCTGCTTCACTCTTCTTTGAAGTGACAAAGTGACCAAACCCATCACTCCAGAGAAGTCTCAATTAGAATTGAAAGCTGTACAACAATGAAAAATATCTATTTCTCTGTTTGCTAAACACTGGTCAGTCAACCAAATCACCCATCAGTTCCTGGGATAAGCAGACTTGTGAATTTGTCTGAGGGAATTTCACTTGCTACAAAGAAATCTAATTATTCCCTTAGCTTATTAGGGAATAGTAGCATTTCTACAGAAAAAGACCTGGAGATTTTTGCAAATATCAGTGACTGAAGTGACACTCTACATAAAGCCTGAAGAGACACTGAGCAGCCATGAGCTGCTTCCTAATCCACTCAGCTCCCTCTGAGAAACACACACTCTGTACCACAGTTTTTGGGGAGAAGGTGCATCGAGGTCTGTGACTGACAGTCAGCGTAGGGGTATAAATATGCAAATGAAAAATCAGAATTTTTCTGCTATTCCCAGTGATCAGCTCCACCTCTGCTGATGCTCTTCCCTGTCTCCTGCAATCCCCTGTCCATTACAGCCACAGTTACTGGAATGCATTTGGAGAGCCTCAGGAAACTCAGTCCCATCATATGCTTTGCATTATGCTGGAGACCACGTGTTTGCTTTAGCACTCCCCAGACACTTGGAAGAGACAGTGCATAAACATATCATCATATAACTTTGGGAAGAAAAGAAAAAGAGAATAAAAACCAAACCAAAACCCCAAACAAAACCCTAGCAACCCCAAAAGCTCAGGGGGATAAATTAAACTCAGAACATAACAGCTCAGAGTCATAATGAGCTGCTGCTTAGCTGTCAAGGCTGGACACGATTTAGGCATCACACTAAAAAAGGGACTTTATGAAAAGCTTATAACCAACATGATAACTGTAAATGTATGTCTGTACCTCCTCTTAAGATAAGCAGTGGCACCTCTGCCCCTACTGGGAACTGCTTGAGCACCTCCACCACCTGCAGGTGGGTCAAGCTCTGCACGTTCTGGTGGCAGATCTCCTTGATGACGTCGCCTTTCTGCAGGCCCTGGCACCACTGGCTGTCCAAAATCATCTTCACCTTCTGCCCCGTGGGGCTGTCTGCGATGGCAAACCCGAACCCTTTGGGCCCTTTGAGCAGGGGGATGGTGACCAGCTCTGGCTGGGAGCCCCCCGAGGAGGCCAAGGAGACCCTCTGCTCCGCCGCGTCCACGGAGGGGCCGTTCAGGCGCCCGTTGACCAACATGGGGCCCATTTTCCCATTCTGGTCCAACACAACTGTCCCTGCTATCAAATCTTGGCTGGGCACAGCAGCATCTCCTCCCTTGGCCACCGGAGGGCCGTTGATGATGGGTGTGGCTGTCACGATATCCACCACGGGGTCCTCGGTGTCGTCAGGGAGGGGGTAACCCCGACACAGGGTCATGTTCACATACTGATTGACAGGAACCAGCTGGAACATCTGCACAACATCTGCATGGGTATGGCCAAGCACACAGCTCCCATTGATGTCCACGATGACATCACCTGTTGCAAAAGGAAGTTCAACAGCGTCAGAAACAGAAGCAAAACCACCCACACCTGGACCCGAGAACAAAAGCCTTACCTGGAGGAAATCACTGGGCAGGCTTCAAACTAATTGGCTCCTGGCTAATGTTGCCAAAAAGCACGCAGGATTTCCTCTCTGCTTTTATTCTATTTCATCTCAGAACACAGTGTGCTAAATATATAAAGTTTAATCTGCAGCAGATTTAAAAAATGATACTGTGCAGCCACGGGAGATGAAGCAGAGCACGCACACTCCTGCAAGCAGATGTCTTCTGCCTTAATTCATATTGCACAGCATCCTAAACCCAATCCAGAATAAATCGGATTTTTTTTGGCCCTGTGTTTATTTTAGGACTGGCTGAACTTAAGCTAGGATTGCACCCACACACATTCCATACTATTACACTGCTGCCACACGTGGCTCAGAACGTATTTTCAAAATAAGTGAAAGTGGGTTTCGGGTCCTGAAACCTTGTTCTGTGTTTCCATCATTTTGATGTGAAACTTTGCACGTGCAATACAACATTCCCTGCAAACTGCCTGATCTCTCAAATGCCTGGGCATCAGTAAAACAGGAACTCCCTTATTGTTCCATGAACTGCAACAGGAATAGCTGCACATCTTTTCATTCCAACAGTTCTGCAGGATTGTCTTCACTTTTACAGAGGTGGAACATGAACCACACGCAAACAAGTTCAAATAATATGTCAGCAACAAAATAGGAAATTGTTTCACAAGTAAACAGAATTAAATCATTCAAAAGTCTTCTTATCTGAAGAGTTTATGTGATACATAAAGAAGCATTTTGCCTTTCCTAGTATGTAAACCTTATAATAAGCTGAACTTAATTAAACATATAGTAACAATGAAAAAGTGTGCAAGTCTTCATGGATTGTAGAAACCCTCATCTCTCTTCTTTCCTCACTTGGCCAGCTCATACAGCTTTGCTTCCTCATTCCTCCTGCAGGTTTTTTGCAGTTTTAATATTTGGTGCTACGTTTTTTGGCAGCAATGAAGCAAAACACAGACCAGGATTCAGTAACGCTGTTTTTCCTTTATGTATAGAGAGGGAACAAGTCTGTGAACAACCACGAAGTCAAATGTCTTAGCTAAAGTACTGAAATCTTCAGAAGTGTCCTCAAAGTAGATTTTTATCTAGAACACTGCTTCTTTTCCTTTTCAGCCACTGATCTTTCACAGATCTGAAAACTATTTCATTTAGTGAGGATGTGGATGGAGTCATCCAACCTCCTGTGCCTCGAGCTGTGCTCTCCAAAGCACCCCAGGAAACGGAAGTTTTAGGGAAATAATACTTGACCTGGAGCAATTCTCCCATCTTGTGCAGCAGGTCCATCCTTTAACACATTCTTCACCTGGAGAAACTCATCAGGCCTGTCCCCTCCGATGATTGTGAAGCCAAATCCCATGGTGCTTTTTTTCAGGGATGTCCTTATAAGTGCTCCTGTGAGCTGGGATGGATCTCGAGTGAAGAGAGACTTCCCTGCTCCTTTTGAATTAGGGAATAGAGAGACAGGAAACCAGGGTTAGCTCTGGTAAGTTTTTTGTTTGTTTTTTAAAGTGTCACGAAGGTTAATGATTTGTTTATTGCTGGTTAATCTCTGCAGCACCATTGGGGAGTAAACAAACAGGACAGTGCTACATTAATTTCCCACCTGGGTTTAGGGAATGGAAAAAATAAGAGGTTTTTAGAACAGATTGTAACAGAGCTGTATCTAAACCTCCCACCTCGAATTCCCAGTTGTAATCCTTGAATACCAAGCTTAAAGTAAATCAAAAGCATGAAAACTCCAGGTGTGGTTTTACCTGCATCTTCCAGCTGGCTCTTCTAACCCTCCACACATCCCAAAGCTGCTTATGACAACCAGCTTCAGAATGATCAAAATGATTTAAAAGCAGGCTTAGTACCTCAGCTCAATTTTCACATTAAAAAAATCCTCCAAAAAACCCTACAGATTTGGGAGGGCAGCACTGCAGTGGCCAGCAAAAAGACAAGGCTATAATGCCTTGATGAATTCCCAAACTGGGTACTTACAAAGCACACCTGCAGATAAAGACAGAAGTGACAAAGACCACAATAACCAGTGATACCTGATTTGGAAGGGCCAGCATCAGCCTGTCCTAGCTGCTTTTTCCTTTTGGCTTCCAATACTGGGTTTTCAAACTGAGTTTTCTGGTTAATGTGACTGCAGACACAGAAAAGGCAGGTCAGGGTTTCAGCAGGAACCATTCTGCCTATTGCCCAAAATCACAACGTCTACAAATGCTATTTTTTAATATCTCAGATGAATGCTCTGGAGGAATGAAGGATAAACTCCCATAATCAACCCTGAAAGCATGTTTGTTCTCTCAACAACCTGATTTACCTTGAGAGCCAATAAAATTTTACTCCCTTTAATTACTAGGTAGAGTTGTAATAGCTTAGAACTGAGCAAACCTGCTTTTTCTCTTGACCCATCTACTTATAATGTTTACAAACTCAGGCATCACCTTTTTACAGTAGATGCCAGTACAGTACAGAGGGGGAAAAACAGTAAATTTGAGCATAATTTAAATATTTCGGCTTTGCAAAGTGAAAAATGTTTGCTCTTTCTCTGAAGCTACATTTTCAACTCTACCAATTTTCTTCTCCATGGTTAAGGAGAGATTTAATTTCCTCTGGCCTGAAGGAGATTCCAAAGAGCTCTTGCAGCAGTTTAGTGGTTATTTACTTGGCTCTTTGGAGACAGCAATGAGCTACAAGTTATTTTTGCTCTTTTAGTTATCAGGTGCCACTCTCAAATCAAATGACCTTGTTTTTGTTAAAGCTAAGAAAAATTACATCAGCTCATTCACTTTAATAAATTACTTTGGTTGCTACTTGCTTTCCTTCCCCAAATGAAATACACTCCAGTAAGTCTCCAAGGTCACACCATGAATTGTCCCACATGCCACTGCTGCAGAAGTTTGTACCATGAACTCACTGCTCCCAGAACTGTTTTTACTGGACATATTTAACACCTTCATAAAATCCCAGAATGGTTTGGGTAGGAAGGGACCTCAAAGCCCGTCCAGTTCCACACCCTGCCATGGGCAGGGACACCTTCCACTTGCTCAGAGCCCCATCCAACCTGGCCTTTCACTGCACTACAACCTACACTTATCAAGCATTTGATTATTTCCTGCTCAGTTCATAATGATGTCAAACCAATAACTGGCACTTACTCGACATAGTATGTTCCATACTGAGGGTCTTCTATTTTCTCCCATCCATAAGGAAGTTCTGCAATCAGAAAGACCAAATTCTTCATTACAGTGGAAAGCTATCCACAAATATCAGAGTTTTTATGAAAGATCACACAGACTCGTGGAAAACATGAGGAAAGTACAGGTCCTATTTTCTTCCCTGATGAAGGTTATGAGTTTGTTCCAGGGAATCTGAAGCCCTGTAACTCTCACTCTTTCTTCCACTAGATGATGAGACTTATATTCAACGAAAATCACACCACTTTAAACATACAATATACTTAAGGACCTATCTGATAAAGGTCCTGGAAGTTACATGCAAAAAGCTCCTTTCAATGGCAAATTAAAACCTGGTAAGATGGTGCCCAGCAGCTCATGACTGACTGAAGGTGCTAAGCAGTTACCACAGAGGTCAGATTATTCTAGTTATCCTGACTACTGAAATTCAAATATTAGAATAATGGATACAGCCAGGTAGCCAGGCATTTTAAGGATAAATTTGCCCTGCAATCTTGTTGGAGGCTGCCCTAAGTTTGACAGTAACAGGAATTTCCCGAGCGTATGACAGCATGTTACCAATTACTAATACCAGCATCACTCCACAGGGTGTGACAAAAAACCCAGTGGGTCTATTCATTTAAATACTGTTCACTTGGATACCCTGCATCTCTGTTTAAAGTGCTCTTTTTATCCTGTGGTGAGCTGCACATATGTTTAATAAGCAGCAGTGTGCAGCCATTGCTCCAGCTGGCTTTATTATGGATCCGTGGCTGTTGGGCTGGGCAATTTTGGAGCACGACAGGCTATTCTGAAAGCCTGCCTCAGCTTTTGGAACATGTCAGGCATTTGCTGAAGACAGAGCTATCTGATGCTCTTCTCTAGCTGACTAAATTGCCTGGCTATGTCGGAAATGGTTGCAGGAATTGCCTGCAGGCCACTCGTGGACCTGACCTGCGAGGCTTGAAGCGACAGTGGGAGGCATTGAAGGGAGTCAGATTGTTCCCCCTACTTCTGCATTCAAACAAGGCATCATGTCACATGCAATAGTTATCATTAGCAATATGTATTATGCCATATCTTCATTATTATTTCTATATTCTGCTATTTATGGGCCTTCTCCTCCTGCCATAATTCCACCCGCACAACAGTGAGATCGTCACTCACGTGCAGCTTCCTCCTTAGCAATGACAGTCACTGGAACAAAACATCTCCTTCTCTGCTCAGGGGTGCAGATAAACCCTTGGTTCAGCCAGATTCTGCTATTCCAGGGAAAATACACCATAGACTTTCCCAGTCTTATGTAAACTCCTACAGCCACCAAACCAGGGAGACTCAGCACGACGCTGCTCCAGAGTCACCTCGACCAGGAAGAAGCTTCTACCACAGCAGTAATGGATTGTATCCAGCTGGGATAGACTCAGACATTTACCAGTGACAGGTGACAAATGAATTCTGAACATCTCACCTCCATCTTCACAATCTTCAGGGGCTTTGGCCTTCTTACAGAGCCGGGGGTCGAGCCACGTGGTTGTCTTGGTGTTGTGACTGTGGAGCAGAACATTGTCCATTAAAAGAAGAAACTCCCCCAGAATGAAGAAACTTTACTTAAGTATTTAGTGCTGTAGGGAAACTGCAGCCTTTAGATAATACAACCTTTATTTGTGCCTCAGTCACATCATAAAACTGCTAAAAAGAAAAGGCACCAGCAGAGTGGAGACTCCCCAGAGACACAAACCCTCTCCCCAGACCCCAAAAGCTCATGTGGGAATAGCAGCTGTCTCTACCTGATAGGAAAAAATATTTTTAGCCTCCTCATGTGCTTAACTCTCAGGGAGGTTTCTGTTCCATTTTTGCCTTGTAATTCACAAATGAGGCAGTTTCACAGGTGCACACATGAGCTGCTTCCCTATCCTGGACTTTCATCTGGGCTGTCTGTATTTTGAAACATGCATTCCCAGCCAAGGAACACAAGCAGAGAAGAAAAAATAAACAAGGTCTCAGATTTCACAGAAATCTGACATAGTGAAGGTTTCTATAATTATATAATTAAGTTATAAATATATATATATATATTATATAATTAAGTTATAATTCACTTAGCAATACCCACCCAGCTTTGTATTTGTGAGATACAAAACCTATAACAAACAAACTGACTTTGCAGTTTTCCTGCACAGTGGCAATTGCACCGAGCGTGCAACATCAGCAGGGATTTTAACAGCAGGAATATACTTAATTTCATAAAGGAACAGAAGCAGTAAGAGAAGAAGAGAGGTGCAAGAGCAGCAGCAGCTTCCCAGGCTGCAGCCAGCAGCACTCCTCCCCCCCAGGGGCACAGCAAACTCTCCCTGGTGCTGGTTACTCACTCGATGAAGTAGATCATGCCAGTGTCTGTGTAGGCCATCTCCCAGTTCTTGGGAAGGGGTTCCAGGGTCTCATCCCTCGACAAATAATTTCTGAAGTCCATGTTGCTGCTTGTCTGGTTGTAGCTGGGAACAGGTTTCATCCAGTCAGGGGAATCTGAATGTTTTTCTTTGTTTTCTGCAGTTGTTCAGGGAAAGTGTTACTATTTGTCAGATGCTTATGTTGTTTCTCACAAAGAACCACCCTCTTAATCTGGCTACGAGTGGATGTCAAACACGTCCCTGTATGTGATGTGCATTTTTCCACTTTTTTTTTTTTTTTTCAGCTGTGAACTTTGCAAAGCTGACATGAAAACACTGAACTCTGCTCTTCCCCTGCCAAACAGAATTAACCTTGTATTATGTGTCTGAGCCTACCCTGAAAAAATCAACGCTGGCAGAACTCCAAGTTGACTACACTTTGTTGCTGTTCCTACAGAGAGAACAGTGTTTGTAATGCCATAATACAACCCCAAAAATCCTACTAATATTCCTCAAAGCACCAGAAGGAAATGCAGAGAAGACCCAAACAGCCAGTAAAACAAACAACATCCCTCCTACAAGCCACAAGCATAAAAAAAACAAGTCCCAAAAATCCCTGCAGGAAACTTTAAAATGGAAACCTCCACCCCTCAGAGCTGAGATTATGCTCAGTACCCTCTGTGACATGATGATGCCCACGACCTTCACTCCACCACCAGCCCCTCTGTGGTGTTGCCAGCCCTAAAACTGGCAAGTTTAGGTCAGGTCTGGTCAGTGTAAGTCTGTCTTAAACACTCACACACAGGATCAGCTGCAAATGCAATGTGACAGCTCCTCTCCACCATCAGTTCTTCCCCCTCGAGATGAGTAACCATGACAGCAAAAGGAAAAGGGCATCCTGCCAATCTAGGAAAGGTCCTGCTGGACACTGCTCCAGCCTCAACACACTTGGCTTTATTTCTCTCCACAAGCTCTCCCTGGGTGGTTTCAGGTGGTGTCATAGCTCCCTCAACCAAAATCATCCGAAAATTTTTACAGTACGAGCTGGTGCTGCCCCTTAAACCAATCCCCTCCCTAAAATCTCCCGTGTACAAACCCAGGAACCGCCTCAAAATTAAACAATAACATCTACAGGGCACGAATTCTGCCCCGTGAAGGGCTCTGTTTTCTGAAGAGTGGATAAATTTTTCCCTCCTGCTCATGTAACTGGCCCATCCCCAGCACCACATGTTCTCCACCGAGCAGTGCATTCTATGATGCAATTGCACATCTGGCTGGGGGAACAGCTGGTTCTGTTTAAAAGATCATCTCAAAACAGAGCAGAAGCACCAGCCTGAAGAGAAACTGCCTTCAGACTGGAGCAAAACTAAGGAAGCAGGAATGTTATTTGTAAACTCCTTATCCATTTATACAACACTCCAGGGAATGTCTCCCCTTGTCAACCAACCTATCCCTCCGCTGCCATTCACTGCCTCCTTTTCCTCCTCTTCCTCCTCTTCAGGGAGAGAACTTTCCATCCTTTGCATTTTGCTGACAGAAGTGGTTCTTTTCCTCTGCGATTCAGTATCAAAATCATTGTCAAAAAGAACTTGGTCCACCGGATCAGGCTGGAAGGGGCTGGGCTCTGCTGGAGGCTTTGGAGTGCCGTAAAAATTACCTGAAAATGAAGCAAAAATCAGGCTCAGTAAAGCACTGACACTGCTGAAAGCACTGGCAGTGGCTGTGGGTGTTTTATTGCCCATGTAAAGGTGTTTTGGTGAAAACTGAACTCCTCAAAGAAAACTCCAGCACTATCAAAACCCAATCAACAGTCAAAGCCTATTTATTCCTGCATTGACTTTTTGCCAGTGTTGCTATTAAATATCAGAAAACAAGAGGTTTAATTCAAAATTTCTATCCTGCCACAAGTTTTCTAGAGAAAAAGATGGATTTGTTACTTTGTCTGGAATTCACTAATACTCCATAAAGAGACTTGGGGAACAATCTGAGAGAAGCAAAACAGTGAAAATCAATTTTTCTTACTCCATACACTAATTAACAGAGTAATATGCAAGAACAGAAACACACTGAATTCAAAAAGCAAATTAATTTTGTGCAGAAACATAAAGTATCTATTTACATAAAAGCAGTTAACAAAGAATTGATTTTAAAACCTTCAATTTTCTACTGACAACACACTTGCTAAACAAAGCTGTTAATATGGCTTCACCTAAAAATGACTTGTACTTGAGAAAAAGGAACAGATTTTTGCCTTCAATATTTTAATCTAAAACACAAAGGAATCATCTGCTGTTTTCTGGAAAAGAATTTCAGCAATTGACCTCTCTCCTGACTGCTCATATGATTTTTATCAAGGAATTGAGAGCACAGCAAGAAAGCTTCCCAGAATTCCTGCTGGGGTAACTTTTAGTGCCTGGATATGGTTTTGACCATGTAAATAAAATAAATAAGAATCCCTTCTGCAAATATCAGTGAGGGTGAGGCTCAGAGTGGGGACAGTCAGATAAAGGGCAGCTAAGGGGAAACAAAAAAGCACCAGTTTAGCCTAAATTTGCTCAGGAGATTTCCACAGAGAGGACAATGTCAACAGTGTGGGACATGGAAAACAAGAGGCACAGAGCCTGTCACAGGATTGTCTACTTAGATAGTTTATTTTCTTTTCTTTTTTCACCACCTTCATTACAGTGTTTTTCCCCACCACATTTAACAAAACCAACTTTGCTCCAGATTTGGACAATCTGGTCTAGTGCTGCTCAATTTTTCACTGGAAAATGCTTTTGTTTCCCTGCTGGATCAGAATTCCCCTCGCTTTCTGCCCTTTTGATGCACATCTGTGAGGAGAACGTGGCCCTGTTCTCTGAGCTTTACACAAAATCAGCTGAATTCTGCTCAAATTGTACCAGGCACAGACAAACCTTTTCAGAATGCTTCCAAAAGTGCAACGAGGAAAATAATCAGGTGGCATTAAGGCTGGTTGAAAGGACAACCTGTGATTTAGCCCAGAGCTTTAAAACCAAATCACTCCCCCTCTTTTAAAGGTAACCCAAAAATAGACTCACTACTGCCTCTCTGCTACTTTCAGATCATCAAATGGGCAGGAAAAGTGGCACCACAGGAGCTACACTTGGACTGAGATCCTGGACATGAGTACTGAGCCCTTATTCCCATTCCATTAAACATCACCAACGTACCATCATATGTTCCACTTTCTAGCAAGGCTCCACTTTCTTCCAGTGCTTTAAACTGCTCAACAGGAATGAAATTATAGTCTACCCCAGGGACCTCCCCATCTCTGGGAGCCCTTGTAGTGCCTGCAAAGACAGAGAAAACACTCTTGTAAGATACTTAAGTGCTGCCTGTTACCAAATGCTGCCTGCTGTAAAATTCAGTAAAACAATGTATTTTTGAATCTTTATACAAATGATGTCACTCCAGTAAGAGTTAGAACAAATGGTGAGCAAGTGAACAATAATGTATAAAAACTGGGCCAATAAGTTCCATAGGAATGACAGTTCTGGTACTGACAGAGGAGGAGAGAAAAAGCTGGATGAGCTGGTAATTACAGAGAATTCTTTCTTATGCTCAGTGAACCAAAAAAACAACTTCTGTGGCAGCTGACGACGCCTGGGCCAGGCAATCCCAGTCTGGGATTCTGGGAACAGCCGTGGTATTTTATTTGAACCCAGCTGGAAGGAAGCTCCATCTCCCCCTGCTTCCACCAGTACCAACTCTCTAATTTGCAATGAGGTCAGCGTGACTAAGCACGTTTGATTTTTGGGTCACCAAATCCATCGCTAGGCACAAAACTTAATTTTTTAACCTTACAATTGGGAGTGTAATTCAGCTACACTCCAAGCCCTGGCTGTAGGTCAGCTTTTTCAAAGCAATCAGTAAATTGCTGTGTTAATGCAGAGGTTCTCAAAGGGTTGTGTCTATGAAAATAGGCCTCCCATAGTTAAAACAGCTTAATTAAAGCTCTCCTGGAAAGGACTGCACTGATTCATTACTGCCTACAACCTACCAGCATTTTAAAGGCACATGTCAATTTTGTCAGGCAGCAGCATGAACAAGAGCTAGTAAATAAAAGATAATAACAGTGAAATGCAGTTTAAGAAAGCCACAAACTCTTGGGCGTGCTCAGAGAGAAGAGAACAGAGTTCCTGTAAATACAAAAACGTTAGTTGACAAACTTATAAGCTTTCAGTGCAATGAATATTAAAATCCAGTCGGTGATGAGCCTTTTGAATCAGTCTGTCTTCTCAGGATGATCAAACAGCTCCCCTGCACTCTCTGCCACTGTCACCCCTTCTGCACACAGCCCCTCCTGCCACCCTGTTTCTATCACTGAAACACTCTGAGCCTGGAATTCTGAACTTTTTTCCTCTTTTTCAGTCCATACTGGCTGCACCAATTCGTGGCAACTTCACGTATCAAGCTATTCCAGCAAAGCCAGAAGTTCCTGCTGCAAGGTAAAGCTATAAACCAGATTAAGAGAGAAGGCAATTAAAGCTCATAAATGATGTGATTGTTAGCAGGAACAGATCAAATGAGGCTGACCTTTACATACTTACAAGGGATGGTTCTCAAGTAGAGATTGTCTCTGATCACTTGCTGGAGTTTGTGGTCTATCGAGCCCTTCTGGAACTGAAGGCTCAGGTAGTGGCGCAAGTCTTTGTTGATGACTTTTCCTTAAAAAACCCAACAGACGAGAATAACTTGTAAAAATTAAGCAGGATCTCACCACAAGAATTGTGTTTCACTGCTATAAATGTTTCAGAGAAAAAAAAGAAAGCAGTGAAAGAGTTGGGTTGTTTCAAATGCAACGACCTGAATAGAAAAAAATATTCTGTGGGTTGGAAGGGACCTTAAAGATCATCTTGTTCCAGGACACCTTCCACTATCCCTGATTGCTCCAACCTGGCCTTGGACACTTCCAGGGATGGGGCAGCCACAGCTTCTCCTGTGCCAGTCCCTCACCACCCTCACAGGGAAGAGTTTCTTCTGGCACAGTGATTTTAAGCAGAGCTGAGCAACAACCATCCAATGCCAGCATCTCCCAGGCAAGGCAGTGACAATATTCTGGAGTTGTTTGAAAGTCAATAAAAAGCATTCAAATAGAAAACGTATCAGCAAAATTCAAAGTCTCCACAGACAGCAAACTATTGTCACTGTATTTTGAAGCAGTTTCCATTCAATTTACACCTACTCACTAGTCACCTGAGCTCAACATTTTGTCACAAGGGAACCTGCATCCTTGGTATTATAAAAAGAAAATATTTCCCTTTTAAAAACATTGCATAGTAGAAGAGAGTTGGGTTTTTTTTTCTTACAATTACTCCTTTGCAATACTTCTGTCGGGTATCATTAGTGAATCTGTCACAGCACTGGAGAACCACGGCCCCTTCAGCACACAAATAACTGAGCTCTTGTATTACTGCCTCATCCTTCTGACAGGAGGGTACAAACCAATCTTTTGTACCCTGTCAGCCTCCCAGAAAGCACATTAAACAGGGTTCAGTGACCTTGGTAAATTTAAGTTACGTACTACAGCAGCACACTCGGGGCTTTAGGGAAAAAGCTCAGCCTTTGTCTCCAAACCCAGCCCAGGAGATGGGCAGCAGCAGGAGAGTGCTGGTGTAGCACAACAGCAGGGAAAAAAGCTGGAACAGAGGGCTGCTCCTGCTAAATTACGTCACCAACAGGTTATGAAATGCATAAACCTGCCCTAGGAAAGGTTCTGACAGGAGCCTCTGAAAGCCTGTGAGCCCAACTGCTGAGGAGAACACCTCAACCAGGGCACAGACCCACATCAGCCCTCGCCCAGAGCTCACCTGCATCTTCAACCACCATTTCTGCACTTACATAAATGTCACATTTGGAAAAAATCCCAAAGCACCCAAACCATCAAAACCCTTCCACCGCCAACCAAGTTCTCCCAACCACGTTTCGCTCTCGAAAAGTTCAGCTGAATGTTTTGGTTGTGGCAAGTTTACACTTTCCCCTTCCCTTCCAGCCAAGTTAAGGGCAGGTCACACCTTGTACTCATCTCTCAAACACGACCTCAGCGACCACCACCGACCACCAGCAAACAGGATTTCAACCTGCACCCTCCTCCCTCCAAACAAAACTGTGGCAACCTGAGGAGTATTTCCAAGTGGAACCAAGATTACCTATCAGCCCTTCAGAGAGGCCTGTGCTGTCCACAAATTAACCAAAACCCAAGCAAAACCACCTTAAGCCCCCAAGCAAAGAAAGAAAAAGCCCATAAGAGGCAGTACAGGCTGTGCTGAACACGAGCCCTGAGCTCCAAATGAAGTCGATTTTTCACCTGTTTTAACACTTAATTTATTTAAAAATTACATCCAAACCCACAAAAGTCATTCTGCAGCGCTAGGACAACACCTCAGCATCGTCCTTGTGGCTGTCCAGAGTTACACAAGCAACACAGCAACTCCCACTGAAGTGGATCCCACTGAATCCTCCCAGGCATGGAATGTGCAGCAGCTCCGCAGCCCTCGGGGCCAACCCTGCCTGGTGTGATGCCACTGAGCCCCCTCCTCAATTCCCTATTTTACCATCATGAACTGTCCTTTACAAAACTTTGGATTTTGCTCTTGCAGCATAATGAGCAAAACGTGTCATGGAAAATGAAAACAAATGGGGTAATCTCCAGGAAGAAAAGTATTTTCCATTTGTTACTACAAATCACTTTATTGTTTGTAGACAAGATGGTTTCTCAACACTAAAAATATGGTTTACTGCTAAAATGGCCCATCCATCTCCCTGTCAAAGCCTGATCCATAGCTCTGCACTTCAGCAATCCCAGCATATTTCACTTAGGCAGATCAATACCCCCATATTTCACTCAGGCAGATGAATCTGGTCATTAGCTACGTTCAGAGCGCTGCACGTCAGAAAAAACTTGGCAAGAGGTGAAAATCTGCACTGTATGTAGAATTACAGAGACTTTATTTACTCACTGATCTTCCCCTCTTCGTGTTTTAAAATTTAAAAGCTCATAAACCCTTTTCAATAAACATCAACTCAGTTAAAAGACAAAGTAAAGGCAAAGCTGCTGCTAAGGATGCACCCACACTGAGGGGTTAATCTTAATATTAAAACCTTAAAGACTGGAGACCAAGACTCTGAGCCCAAGGTGACTAAATTGAAGACTGAAAGGGCTGCCTGGGGAAAACAGAGGAAAGTCAAACAAAACAGCAGGCAGAGGGAAAATGACAGAAAGTCACACAATGCATTAGAAGGCAGAAAAATAAAATAATAGTAAGGATGCTTTAGGCAACCTCCAGAGCTTGTTCCACGCAAAAGCCAGATTATTTCCCCTCCAGAAGCTGAACATGCTCCTTTACATTGTTTCACGCAGGCTTTTAGGAGAACCTCGTGTATCAGCCTCTCCGAAATGACCTAATAAATGTCGGGTTGGTGTTTGTTGTGCTGCTGAGCTGCCTCTGAAGGATGACACAGGCAACACAGGGACCAGTCAAGAGGAATAATGTACTTTATACCGTTCAGGTTCTGCAAGATGAACAGGCACAAGCCTCTTGTTTTCAGTTTTAATTTAAATTAACCACGAAAGAGCTGCTTAAGCGAGGATATGCACACTGCAGTTGGGCAAGAACTAAGCGGCTGCAGAAGGAAAAAACAGGCTCGAGTGTCACTGCAGCAAAACACAGCGCTGGGAAGGACAGAGGCAAAGGAGTGACAGGGACATGGTGAAAAACGGGGGTGGTGGCTCTCACAAACTGTGCTGGTGAAGTTGCCTTTGCTGCTGTACCTAAGCAGGACGAAGAACAGCTATTTATACACCCAACCTGTCATGGAAACGCTCGAGAACACACACTGCAGTCACAAACGGAGGAGCATTGCCATGGTGCTACTAGAACTCGGCACCAAACCCCCCTCCTAGATCAGAAATGTTGGTAAAAACAGCAAAGTTCAACATTGAAACGTGCAAGTAAATGATAAGAATTCAGTCTGTGTAGTTTTTATGTTGCTGTCTGGTGATAATGTCACAAGTGCCTCTGGCTAATGCTGCTGGTATATGGAATATCTGTGATGTCCCCCACGAATCACTCTGAAGACCACGTGGAAATTTTCCACATTGTTCTGATGAAGCTTTTACACAAACACAGGTGACAGCTTTCCAGAGACATGGAATTCTCTGCACTGCTGGGGAGTGATGCCTGAAGTTTCCATGCCAACACCTTCTGGAGACACTGGCAGCTACAGGCTCCCAAGGAGCTGCAGTGCTGATGGGTGACTGAATAAGTGGACAGTGCTTTTCTCTCAAACTTTTTGAAAAATACTTCACTGTTCATTATAAAAGCAATTTTTCAAAGTAGCAGTTTATTAAAAGCATGCTGCTTTCCTATTAAAGTATGTAATTTATTACCAGGGTTTACACCTTCGCTGTAGCTTTTAGCATAAAAATGCAATTTTAAGTGAAGAGGTGAGAAAATGGAATTGCATTCCCTTGTTTTCAGTGGAAATTTTTAAAAGCTCAGCTGCAGTCCTGGTGTGCTCTGCTGGTGAAAAGTAAAATCATAGAACCCTATAATGGTTTGAGTGGGAAGGGACATTAAAGTTCATCTCATTCCACCCCTGCCATGGGCAGGGACACCTTCCACTAGCCCAGGTTGCTCCAAGCCCTGTCCAACCTGGCCTTGGACACTTCCAGGGATGGGGCAGCCACAGCTTCTCTGGGCAACCTGTGCCAGGGCCTCCCCACCCTCACAGGGAAGAATTCCTTCCCAATACCCCATCTCACCCTGCCCCTGTCCACATGAAGCCATTCCCCCTTGTCCTGTCCCTCCATCCCTTGTCCCCAGTCCCTCTTCAGCTCTCCTGGAGCCCCCTTAGGCTCTGGAAGGGGCTCTCAGGTCTCCCTGGAGCCTTCCCTTCTCCAGGGGAGCACCCCCAGCTCTCCCAGCCTGGCTCCAGAGCAGAGGGGCTCCAGCCCTTGGAGCATCTCCGTGGCCTCCTCTGCACTCGCTCCAGCTCTAAAGGGGTCCCCAGGGCTGGAGGCAGCTCTGCAGGTGGGGTCTCACCTGAGGGGGCAGAGGGGCAGGATCCCCCCCTCCCTGTTGCCCACGCTGTGGGATCAGCCCAGCACACAGGGGGTTTTGGGGTCCCAGCAAACGTGGCAGGAGCACATCCAGCCTCTCACCCACCACCACCAGCCCCCACCAGCTCAGGGCTGGGAAGGCAGGAGCATTCCCAGCTATTCCCGCGGTGATCTGCCGCCATCTCCCGGCACCTTCCAGCTGATCCCCCTTGTTCCCCCCCACCTTTCCCACCCCCCAAATCCACCCCAACCCCCTCCCCGGGGTGGGGGGGTTTAAACACCACAGAACGAAAATCACACATGGCACATACACCGCCAGGAAATTTTGTTTTCTCCCTCAGAGCAGAGCAGAGGGGAAGTGTAACCGGAATTCCACGTTCAGAATCCCCCACACATGGGAACGCGATCCCGGAGCGTCCACGGCTCCGCGCTGCCTGATGTGTTACATAAGCTGGGACTGCAAAAGGCCACCCCGACCATGAAAACTCCACTGAAACACACGTTAGGGGCTGTAAAACAGCTCCCTGGCTTCGCTCACAGGATAAACTAAACCAGGAATTAACAGGGTTCCTCGAGTGGAAAACAGTTACTGTTTAATTAAACTGG